TGCTGTTGTGCCCAGGCTGTAGTGCTAGGGGGTCATCTTGGCTCACTGCAACCTCTGCCTCCTGGGTTCAGATGATTCTCCTGCCTCAGCCTCCCAAGTAGCTGGGATTACAGGTGCCTGCCACCATGCCTGGCTAATTTTTTGTATTTTTAGTAGAGACAGGGTTTCACCATACTGGCCAAACTGGTCTCCATCTCCCTATCTCAGATCACCCACCGGCCTCAGCCTCCCAAAGTGTTGTTTTTACACATGTGAGCCACTGTGTCCAACTCCATTCTTTCTTCTTCTTTTTCCTTCTTCCTCCTTCCTCCTTTCTCCTTCCTCCTTCCTCCTCCTCTTCCTCCTCCTCCTCCTCCTCCATCGTGGGAATGTACCATAATTTACCCAGTATCTTATTCATGAAAATATAGGTTTCCAAGTTTTATTTTGTTTTTATTTGTTTTGGAGACAGAGTCTCAGTCTGTTGCCCAGGCTGAAGTGCAATGCCATGATCGTGGCTCACTGCAGCCTCCATCCCCTGGGCTCAAGTGATTCTCCAGCTCAGCCTCTCAAGGAGCTGGGACTATAGGTGCATACTACCACACCTGGCTAATTTTTGTATTTTTTGATAGAAATGGGGTCTCGCCATGTTGCCCAGGCTGGTCTTGAACTCCTGGCTTCAGGCGATCCTCCCACCTCGGCCTCCCAAAGTGCTGGGATTGCAGGCATGAGCCATCTCATCCAGCTGGTTTCCAAATTTTAGTTCTAACAAACATTATCATAATAAATGACCATATAGACATCATTTCCTTTTGCAGAATCGGAAACTAAAAGAGAAATTTAAAAAAAAATCATTTCCATTGTGTGTAATTCTTGGGAAGGTCAGTTCCTGGAAATAGACTTGCTGGGTTAACACGTAAGGAGCTCAAGTTTTGAAACTATACAATCCCAGAATTTAAAGCCCAGCTGCTGCCCTTGAACCTGGGTGATGACAAAAGTCTGAGACTAGGTCTGTGAGGCCTCAGCTGCAACCCCCACCCACTCCTACCAGATCAACTTAATCTTCCTGAGCCTCAGTTTTATTATTATTATTATTTTGAGATGGAGCTTCGTTCTTGTCGCCCAGGCTGGAGTGCAGTGGCATGATCTCAGCTCACTGCAACCTCTGCCTCCTGGGTTCAAGTGATTTTCCTGCCTCAGCCTCCTGAGTAGCTGGGATTATAGGCACCTGTCACCATGCCCAGCTAATTTTTTGTATTTTTAATAGAGATGGGGTTTTGCCATATTGGGCAGGCAGGTCTTGAACTCCTGACCTCAGGTAATCCTCCCACTTCAGCCTCCTAAAGTGCTGGGATTACAGGCATGAGCCACTGTGCCCGGCTTATTTATTTATTTTTTTTCTGTAAAATTGAGATAATTGTATTTACTTTGCGGGCTTGTGTAGATTAAATGAGGTAACATAATTAAAGACCCTGGCCTCAGCACTTAAAGCTTAGTGTCTACCTTTCCTTTGTAAATCGTTCAAGTAGGCAGCCTATGGCAAATAGGTGACCCAGTGACTCTCTAGGGGCCTTAGTTGACATGCTTTCTCTGTCAGGCTCTTCCACAAAATCTCTATGAAATCCTTTTGTTCAGGGTTGCCCTAGATAGTTATTGTAACTAAATATCATCTGTGTAAAAAGGGTACGATATGGGGAAATGCTTGGGAAATAATGTTAAACTGAAAAGAAGGATATGAAACAATATAAACTGTGACTCTAATTTTGCTTTAAATATATGCACAGAGGGCTGGGCACTGTGGCTCACCTTGTAATCCTAGCACTTTGAAGGCTGAAGCAGGCAGATTCCTTGAGCCCAGGAGTTCAAGACCAGCCTGGGCAACATGGAGAAACCCCATCCCTACCAAAAATATAAAAATTGGGTGGGCAAGTGGCTCACGCCTGTAATCCCAGCACTTTGGAAGGCCAAGGCAGATAGATCACCTGAGGTCAGTTCAAGACCAGCCTGGCCAACATGGCGAAACTCTGTCTCTACTAAAAAT